CGTCATCAAAGCGCCAGTACTGGGTGCCCTGGGGCGTGGGGGACAGAGAGGGGTCATAGGTGCAACATCCCCCAGCCACAGGTCTGCCAGGATCAGCGAGGGGATGCTGGGGACCCCCATCACGAGGCTGTGGTTGCTTGGGGTCCCAGAATAATCACAGGGATTTGGGGTTTCCGGCAACCACTGTGTGTGTGGGTGTTTGGGAGGTGCCAGAAGGGGCTATAGGGTGGGTTGTGGGGTTATGCTGGACACTCTGGGAGTACCTCTAGCCCTGCAGCCCACCTTGAAGAGGTAAGTCTTGCCCTGGCAGTTGATGCGTGTGAAGGCTGCATCGATGGGGCCCTCGATGCCCCAGACATCACTGATGAGCTTGGGGTAGCCAGGCCTCACACTGGTCTTGTCCAGCTCATAGAAGTACTTCCCTAGGGAGAGAGGAGAGGTAGGGGCAGCAGGAGGGACTGCAGACACCAGCACAGGGTGACAGCATGGCAGCAGGTCCCACGTGCCTGGGGAAGGTCCCCAAAGTACCTCGGAAAGCGTAAAGGGAACCGTTCTTCAGGTCGGTGAAGGCATCAAAAGGTTTCCCGCTGCACAGCTCCTCAGGCTCCCCAGACGCATCTGGGGTGGTGCTGGGCACCTCTGGCAGTGTCTCCTCCGGGTTTGGCTTGCTCTCTGGTGTGGTCTCCACCAGCACTGGGGCTGTGGGCAGCTCTGTGGGGTCTGCCACGGGCGCCTCGTCCGTGACAAAGTCGACAGTGAGGTTGTAGTCCAGGTAGTCATCCTCCGGCAAGGCAAAGACATCTCCCCGGGTCACTGCAGGAGGGAGCAGGTTGGTTCCCCCTGGGTTTGGGTGCAGGAGATGCTCCCTCCCAGGAAACAGAGATTTATAGAATCGTGGAGTCATTAAGGGTGGAAAAGCCTCTAAGATCATCAAGTCCAATTTAACCCAGCACTGCCAACCACGTCCCCAAGTGCCACAAGTGCACATTTTTTAGAACACTTCCATGGATGGTGATTCCACCTAGGCAGCCTACTCCAATGCCTGAACACCCTTTCAGTGCAGACATTTTTCCTCCTAACCAATCTATCCAATTAGCACAGATCCCACGCTCCAGATGGTGATGAGCCAGCTCTCAAAACCCCCTGCGCTGCAACAAATCCTGGTGCTGACTTCACCCCTCAGCCACAGGTGGGTGCAGAGCTGACCCAGCACAGACCCCACAGTGTGGAGCACCCAAAGCCACCCCTGTGCCCTGGCCAGGAGGGTGGCCATGGGGACAGTACCTTTGGCTTTGCAGACGGTGGAGTAGTCGCTGCAGCAGCTCTGGTAGTACACACAGAGGGTGTCACACTGGCACTTGTGCCCTGCATCGAAGCCTTCCTCACAGCGGCCCTCGCAGGAGTCTGCAAAAGCCACCCCACAGCTCAGGAGGGGTAATGGGGAGAGGGGCAGTGGGGCCCACGCCTCCCCTCCAGCCCAGCCCCATGGGGGAAAACAAACTTGGGGATGTCCTGGTTGGGGGTACCCCTCCCCTTCATGGTCAACTCCATCCCCAGGGGTACAGCAGCTCCTTGCCCTGCTCCCACTCAGGTCCTGCTGGGATGGGAGCCACAGACTGGGCTGTGCCATGCTCCCAGTTCCGTGCTGGCAGCCCAGCTGTGATGGGCAGGGATTTGCCAAGGCACCACTGACACCCGTGTGCTACCCACTTGCTTTCTCCCCATCCTGCAGGGTACAGCCAATGCGGCCGTGGCCACCACCCGCTCCCTCCCCACCCTGCCCGGGCTGCCCAGCCCCTCCGTCAGCCCAGGAACTGCTGTTTCTCCATCCCCAAAGCACCTGGCAAGGTGTTGGCTGGCTAAAGCTCACCTTCTGCAGCACGGGTGGTGGCCAGCAGGGCCAGCACGAGGGCAGGGAAGAGCAGCCTCATGCTGGGTGTCCGGGAGCGCAGCCCTCCTGCGACTGTGCGGGCTGGAGCACGGCAGAGCCCCAGCATCCAGTGTTTGCTCAGCCTGCCCCGGGGAAAGCAAACAGCCCAAGGTCGGAACAGGGGACAGGGACAGAGATGACCACCCACCCAGCTTCCCCCACAGCCCACACTGAACTGGGAATGTCTGCAGGGGGACAGGGCTGCCACGAGGGTAAGCAGCTCCTCCCCAGCCCCGGTGCAGGTTGGGCACTGTTCACAGAGAGTGGGGAGGGACAGCAGAAAGACAGAGCCAGGAAGCAGTTTTGAGGTCGTGCCACACTCATTTCATAACATACCTCATGCTGTAAAAGCAACCAGCTGTTTCCCAGCCTGGTCTTGGCAAAGCCAAAAACCCAAATGAGACCGGATGGGGGAGCAATGCTCAGAAGACAAAGGGAAAAGTCCTGGGCTTATGCTTGGCCAAAATATCACCATTTCAGAGGACTTATTCTTGGGATTTCAGCTTTCTCAATGTCAGGGCTGGGAACAGATGTGGGGAGCCCCAAGGTAGGGTGGCTTGGGATGGGGCAGGTGCCACCTCAGTGCCTGGGGACCAGAGGCCAGAGGTGAGTGGCCAGGGGCAGGAGCCCTCAGCACTTTCACTGCAGAAGGCAAACAAAAGCCTGTGTATTTTGCTCCCGTCATTCCCTTTCCAACCAATCTTTCAGTTACTAATTAATGTCGACTCAGCTGTTTTGGCAGCTCCTGATATCTCTGGGATGTTTATTGAATCGGGGCAAGGAGCAAATGCAGACGAGGCTGCAGCAATCCTGCCTCTTCTGCCTCTGCTGGGACAGGAGCTCCAAGGGATCTGTCCCAGCCCTCGGGCAGCAGTGGTGCAGCTTTGGGCCTTACGTGATGCAAGATTTGGGGGGAGAGAAACCCAAGCAGGGTGCCCACTTTTCCAGGGGTCTTTCACACACAGGCAGTTCCTGGCATCGTCTGCTCCTGGCATCTTGCTGGAAAGAGCTTTATTTGGTTTTGAGACAGGCATTCCCACCTGGAAGGCCTGGGGAGCTGAGGGCAGCTACCAGACATCAGCTTTTGGGGCAGAACTTCTCCTGCAGCCCTCACCCCACTCCTTGTCCCCTGGCCTCAGCTATGGCAGGGCTGGCATTGTCCCCAAATGCCAGCACCAGCCCAGTGCTGCACTAGGGCTTCGTCCCATCCCTGTTGAACCAGCCCTGGGGGACAGCAGCCCTGTTGGGGTTCAGGCTTGCTGGAGGCTCTGGGGGAGAAGGGCTGGGCATTGTCTGAGCTGCTTTGGCTGATCAGCTAAGACAAAGCTCCCTCCTGCTGCTCCAGGTTCCCAACCACCAGCCACAGAGCCATGAAGGCTCAGCGAGCCCTTCCCTGCCAGGAGCAGATCCCAGGAGAGGGGTTGGTTCGGTAAAGGGGCCCCGGGGAGCTCCTGCAGCCAAGGGCTGAGCAGAGCCAGTGAGGAAAACCCGGGAAATGGGGCTGATCCCCCAGGGCAAGGCTGGGAACCGCTGCAGTTCCTGAGCCCAGGCTGCTGGGTCTGAAAACTCCCCCAAAAAAAAAAAAAAAAAAAAAGCAAAGCAAAGCAAAACTAAAAGCAAAACAAAGCCCAGCTCTCTGGGCTAGTCAGGACAAGCCTAAGGGAATGGTTTGAATTCTGCTGCCCGCGGGCAGCAAACCCTCTGCTGCTCTAAACTGCAACAGCCCTTATGGTTACCCCTGATTAATAGTAATTTATCAGGAAATTCCTTACTGGTTCTGTGCCGAGCTTCTCCCGCAGTTTTGCGCTGCTCGGGGTGCCCCGTTCGCCGTCCTTCCTTGTGGGATGATGTCCCTTTCCTCTGTCCCTTCCTAGTGGATTCAGAGAGGATTATCAGCGACTCCGTCACATGCAAACATCAACTCGAATTTAAGTCTCAGGCTGACCTGGCAACAACCTGGTTTTGGAGTCAAGGATTTAAGCTGCTCCTCCCAGCACATCCGAGAAATGCCCAAAGCATTTAAGCATTTCTGCCCTGAGCACGTCTGGCCTGGAAAAGAGAAAACAAAAGAGGCCCAGGCTGCCTCTGCTCTTTCTTTTATCATGCAAATCCAGAGCCCACCCAGAAGAGCTGCTCTGAATTTCCACCGAGCAATGGGTATTTGCCTCCTGCTGATACCGAACGGGTTCAAAACACCGAGCCAGGGTGGTCACAGCCTTGCCGTGAGCAGCACGGTGCCTGGTGGCCTTTCCCTGCCCCCTGTGCCCCCTCGCTGGTCACAGAGGGTCCTGAAGGGGTGTCCTGCAAAATCAGCGTGGGGGTCCCTGCCTGGCATGGGGGTGACACCGCAGCAGCAGCTCGGGCACCGTGGGGGATGTGGGCTGTGGGGACAGCAGGGCGAGCCCCAGCTCAGGGCAGACAGGGAGGGCTGTGGAATAGAATCGTTTGGGTTGAAAATGAAAAATTTTCTAGTTCTAAATCCTGTCACATTCCACTGTCCCAGGTTGCTTCAAGCCTGGCCTTGGACACTTTCAGGGTTGGGACATCCGCAGCTTCCCTGAACAAGCACTTCACAAGTAAAAATTTTCTCCTAGAATCTAATCTAAATCTCTCACATTTTACTTTAAAACCGTTTCCCCTTGTCCTATCGGTATCTATTCGTGTAAAAAATCACTTCCCCTTTTATTAATGAGCCCTATTTAAGCGCTGAAAGGCCACAATCACAGGACCTAAAATTCAGGATGGAAAACATAACATTTAGGATGGAAAACATAACATTTAGGACGGAAAAGCCCTCTAAGACCGACTCCAGCCGCTATCCCAGCACTGCCAAGCCCACCCCTGAGCCACGTCCCCAAGTGCCACATCCACGATTGTGCTAAATCCTTCCGGGGCTGGTGGCAGGAGGGCTCCGGGGGGCTCTGCAGCGGGAGGGGGCCGCAGCTGCCGGCACCGAGCCCCTCCTCGGAGAGGCGGCGCCTGCTCCCGGTGACATCAGCCCCGGGGACCGGGATGCTGAGCCCGGCTCGGGGAAGGCGGATCCCGCTCCGCATCCATCTCCGCATCCCCACAGGGCAGAGGGGGCAGCGGGACGCATCCCCCCCGTCCCGTGCCCCCCACCCGCAGGAGCGGGGGGCCGCGGGGATGCGGCGGTAGCGGCCGCCGATGCTCGCCCTGCTGCTGTCGCTGCACGCCCTGCGCCGGTGCCGGGCCATGGCGAGCGCGGAGCGGCTGGCGGTGCCCGGCGGGGAGAGCCGGGCGGGCGGCGGGCTGTCCCCCGGGGTGGGCACGGAGGCGCGGGAGGCGCTGGAGCGGGTCCTGCCCGTCCTCCGCCGGGCCGTCGCCCACGCCACGCGGGCGGCCAGCCCCGAGGGGCTGCGGGCGGCGCTGTCCGAGGTGTTCCGGCTGGTGGAGGAGGCCTGGGGGATGCCCGCCGTGGGGAGGGACGTGGCCAAGGTGCTGTGCGATGTGATCCGCCTGGAGGGGGGCCTGGACCTGCTGCTCAACCTGCTCTACACCGCCGAGCTGGAGACCAAGTGCCAGGCAGGAAAACTCCTGGAGCAGATCCTGGTGGCGGAGAACAGGTGAGTGTGCAAAGAGCCCCTCAGACCCTGCCAGCCCCCAGCACCGTGGGGCTTCAAGGGACCTTAAAAACCTCATCTCAACCGCCTGCCATGGGCAGGGACACCTTCCACAGACCAGGGTGCTTCGAATCAATCCAACCTGGCCTTCATCTACCTTCACCCATCCCCAGCCCCCCAGATTTCCCTGCTGTGGGTGCTTTCAGTTGCACAAACCCCTCAGATCCCCACCACATCCCCCCACAGCCAGTGCTGGTGTCCAGGCAATGGCCATGGGCTGCTCCCTTCCCCCACAGCTGGAAGGAGGAGGATCAGGGGTGTCCTCCTGAGCCCCCTCAGTACCGTGGGGCTTCAAGGGACCTTAAAAACCTCATCTCAACCGCCTGCCATGGGCAGGGACACCTTCCACAGACCAGGGTGCTTCGAATCAATCCAACCTGGCCTTCATCTACCTTCACCCATCCCCAGCCCCCCAGATTTCCCTGCTGTGGGTGCTTTCAGTTGCACAAACCCCTCAGATCCCCACCACATCCCCCCACAGCCAGTGCTGGTGTCCAGGCAATGGCCATGGGCTGCTCCCTTCCCCCACAGCTGGAAGGAGGAGGATCAGGGGTGCTGGTGAGGACTGGGGTGTCCTCCTGAGCCCCCTCAGCCAGGCTGAGCTGAGTCAGAGCATCTGACCCAAAGGCCAAGACGTGACTCTCCTTTGGCCATAACTGCAGCACGAGGAGGACAAAGCCACCTCCCAGAGCCTCCCTGCTGCTGACCAGGGCTGGGATGAAGCCATAAGGAGGGGTCAGCTGGCCAGCAGCCCTCAGCCCCTAGCTCAAGTGCATGTGCTGCTGCCCAGGACAGGTGAGAGGTGCTGGGATGTCTCTGTCAGAGCATGGGCACGGTGTGTGTGTGTGTGTGTGTGTACAAAGGTGCATGTGCACGCCTGACACATCCAAATCACAGCACCCACACGCAGCTCACCCTTCCAACACCCCAAATGCACCCTGCCAGCTCTGCCCTCCCTCAGAGCACCCCAGCCCAGCCCAGCCAGGGCTCTGGAAAGGATGTGGAGGGAGCCTGGCCGAAGAGTTTCTCCAGCTTTCTGAGGGATGTCTCTTGCTGGAGCTGTGGACTCGCAGCCTGGGCCTCACTTCATGCACTGGCAGGCAAAAATAAGCAGCAGCTAAATCAGGAAAGCCCATTAGGGTGGAATTTAATCCCAGGAATCATCACTGGCATGCTCTGCATTCAGCACTCAGCTCCTTAGCAAGAGAAAGCATTTGCTGGAGCTGTTGTTTCTGCTCCAGGAGCAGTCCATGGGCTTGGAGTAGCCATGGCATTCCAGCCCCTCGCTTCCCAGGAGGTGTGGGGCTCCCCTTTGGGCCCAAGCCTCTCTCTTGCAGAACTCTCCCAGTCTGTGCCCAGCAGCAGAGGTGTTTAGCTGGGAGCGGGACAGGTCCTGGCTCCATCTGCAGCTGGAGGGAGTTGGGGACCTGTGTTTGTCATCCAGCTCCATGGCTGAGTCCGGGCTCACAGCCAGACCCAGCCTGAGGGATTCTTTTTTTTTTTTTTTTTCCCAGGGCTCTCCACAACATTTCCTGTCAAACCCACCCCAAGGTCAGTGAGAGCCCTGTGGGTCACAGGCTTCCCAGAAATGCTCTTCCTGCCTGCCAGCACAGAGGCTGGCGTGCCATCACCCCACCGTGGCTGGGGACTGAGCGTGCCACTGTCCTCCTGGGCAGCAGGGCATGGGGCACCCGTGCCAGAGCTGCCACTAACAGAGCAGCTCCAGCACCACACAGCCTCTGCTGAGGGCAGGAATGGAGCTGCCACCCAGGGAAGCTCATGGGAGCAGAGCCAAGAGCTCATCTCAGAGGGTGGTGAGGCCCTGACAGCTGTGGCTGCCCCATCCCTGGCAGTGTCCAAGGCCAGGTTGGACAGGGCTTGGAGCAGCCTGGTCTGGTGGAAGGTGTCCCTGCCCATGGTAGGGGTTTGGACCTGGCTGAGTTTTCAGATCCTTTCCAACCCAAATCATTCTATGACTCTGATTTTCCCCTTCCTCGCTGCACTTTCAAGGCACAGCCCCATTCAGGTGTCATTTTATGCACAGGCCTCCCAAGACCAGCCATGGCTAAGCAGCAGCTGGTGGCCCTTGGCCACCTACCCCTGGCTCTTGCTGTTCTCTTCCAGAAGAGTGCAGGGTGAGGAAATAAAGAGCTTCCCTCCAGCTGCCATCCCAGGACAGACAGACAGACCCCTGTGTCCCACTTGTGGACAGGGCTGCTTGGCTGCTCATCCAGGTGTGAAAGCCCTGTCCTGACAGCACTGACAGCAGCGCTTAGGGGACAAACAAGTTTCAGTCCCAAACACAAAACAGCTCCACACCACAGCAATGCTGGCCCAGCAGATCCATTTCCAGCCTGGCATTAACCCACCTTGCCTGTTAATTGCTACGAAGATCCTACCTCCAGCATGAGAGCATCCACTGAGGTGGTTCTGGGCTGTGCACCCCATCACAAATTCTTCCATCAGACCCACACAGGTTCCTCCAACACCAGCCTGTTGCACCTTGCTGCATTGCCTGCCTGGCAGCTGTGTCCTACAGGGAAACACCTGGGATAAATGTCACCAAGGCATGGGCCACACCAGTCACTGTTGTCACCCCTTTCACGTCCACCTGCCCCTCCTCCCCATCTCCTCCCCACAGGGACCGCATCGCTCGCATCGGCCTGGGCGTAATCCTGAACTTAGCCAAGGAGCGGGACATCCCCCAGCTGGCCCAGAGCGTCTCTGGGATCCTGGAGCACATGTTCAAGCACACGGAGGAGACCTGCTTCCAGCTCATCTCCGACGGAGGCCTGGACACCATCCTGTACTGGTGCCGCTGGACGGACCCCGCCGTGCTGCGCCACTGCGCCATGGCCTTGGCCAACTGTGCCATGTACGGGGGCCAGGCCAACCAGCGCCTGATGATCGAGAAGAAGGCGGCGGAGTGGCTCTTCCCGCTGGCCTTCTCCAAAGACGACGAGCTGATCCGGCTGCACGCCTGCCTGGCCATCACGGTGCTGGCCACCAACAAGGAGATCGAGAAGGAGGTGGAGCGCTCGGGGACGCTGGCGCTGGTGGAGCCCTTCATCGCCTCGCTGGACCCCGAGCGGTTCGCCCGCGAGATGCTGGGCAGCGGTGACAACGTGCAGGGGAGGACGGCGCAGGACCTGCAGCGCCTCGTGCCCCTGCTGGACAGCTCCCGGCTGGAGGCACAGTGCATCGCCGCCTTCTACCTCTGCATCGAGGCTGCCATCAAAGCCAGGCAGAAGAAAACACAGGTAAAGGGTAGGTTGGCCTGGAGGAAGGCGATGACAAAGGGAAGGGGCGCCGCAGCTGCGTTGGCACAGACATATTTTATGAAAAATCCTTTTGTCAGGATTTTTTTTCTCCTGAGAAGCTGGGAAGCTTCAGCTTCTCCATGTTTTGCTGCTTTGGGATGTGATTTGGAGATTTGGTGCCATGATCTAGTTGAGGTGTTAGAACATGGGTTGGACTTGATGATCTTAAAGGTCTCTTCCAACCTAGAAATTCTGTGATTAATTGTTTACTCAGCATGTGAAATTGTTTTCACTTGATGACCAATGACAGCCACCTGTGTCGAGGCTGTGAGCAGTCACAAGATTTTATTATCATTCTATTCCATTCTTTTCCATTCCAGCCTTCTGAAGGATCCTTTCTCTCTATTCTTTTTAGTATAGTTTTAGTATAGCATTTGAATATAATATAATAAATCAACTTTTTGAAACATGGAGTCAAGATTCTCATCTCTCTCATTCTCATCTCTTCTCATCCTCATCCTGGGACCCACAACCACAGCTGCAGCTACACCTCGGTATCTTTTGCTCACCAAACACCTTGGTTCTCTCCTGGCCCAGCACATCTTGTTGGGAAGTGTGGCAGTCATATTTTCTGGAAAAATCCCCTTGCCCAGGATTCTTCTCCTGGGAAGCTGAGAAGCCTCAGAGAAAAAGGAAAACAATATTATCTCATTTGCTTCTCCTGTGTTTTGCTGCTTTGGGATGTGGTTGGAGATTGCTTACCAACAGGTGATTGTTTCACTGGTTTCATGTGAATTGTTTTGTTTTATTGGCCAATCAGGGCCAAGCTGTGCTGGGGCTCTGGAAAGAGTCAAGAGACTTCATTAGTATCTTTTAGCCTTCTGTAAGTATCCTTTCTGCATTCTTTAGTATAGTTTCAGTTTAGTATTCTTTAATATAATATAGCATCATAAAATAATAAATTAGCCTTCTAAGAACATGGAGGCAGATTTATCATTCCTTCCTTCATCTGGGACCCCCGCCAATACAACAGGGAAGAGGATGAGGGGAAGCAAAGTGACATCTCCTCCCTTCGTGTCCCCAGATTTTCAGTGAGATCGGGGCTACACAGAGCCTGAAGAGGATTGTGTGCTACTCCACCAGCAGCACCACCTCCTCCCTGGCCAAAAAGGTGCTGCGGATGATAGGGGAGGAGGTTCCCCGGCGCATCCTGCCCACGGTTCCCAACTGGAAGTCCTGCGAGGTGCAGACGTGGCTGCAGCAGATCGGGTTCAACAAATACTGCCAGAGATTCCTGGTAGGGCTCTGTGCTGGGGGAGGGACACAGGGATGGACACTTCTGCCCCATCTTGCAGCAGAGGTGTAAGCGTCTCACCCAGCTTTTCCTGGGAGCTTTCCAGCCTGGATTTCTCTTGGCAGGATCACCAGGTTGATGGGGACATTCTCCTGAGGCTGACAGAGCAGGAGCTGCAGAAGGATTTGGGGATGGACTCCAGCATCACTCGGAAAAGGTAGGACCACCACCAGGGCACACTGGACTCCCTCAGGGCCATCACCACAGTGGCAGAGCCAGGGACAAGGTCTCTGCCTTTCCCTTCTCACAAAAACAGGAATGGAGATCCTCCAATGCAAAACCTGGACTGCCAGGGCTTTTCCACTGCACTTTTTGCAGTCCCAGTGAGATTTCTGTAGTGGCACCACTGCACAGCAGAGGTGTGGGTGGGGGAAACACCACCTATGGCACAGGGCAGGTGGGATCATGCAAGTTACCCAAAAAGATGGGAACTTACCCCTAGCTGAGCTCCTCACACCTCAGTGTCCCAAGGACCAGCACTCCCATGCAGCTGTTCCTCTGTTTCCTGTCCCTGGAGCTCATCCTTCACCCCAGTGTGGAGCTGCACTCCCTCCTGAGCCGGTAAAATGTTGGAATCTGAAAGGCAGGGGACTCTCAGAACTTTGGGCCTGTAAGCCAAAGCTTAGAATTAAACATAGGATTTGATTTGAGACCTTGGGAAAAGCTTCCAAACTTAGGTGCTAGAAGTGGGAATGTGGATTTATAGTTTAAAGTAGAGACATGTTAAGAAGAGGTAAGTTTAGAGTTTCAGAGTTTAAGATATAGAAAAAATAAAAGTAGTTACAGAGGTAAACAAGAAGTTTAGAATGCAGTACTGTAGGTTTGTGTGTTATAACAAAATTGGTTAATAAAACTTACATTGTAGCATGAGCCTATAAGATAAAATATTTAAGGATTAAGTTAAAAGCATAAATATCCTTGTTAGCAGTGTTTTATTGGCCAATAAATCTTGCAGCTGCAAGTCTTGTGACCTTCTGAACCACGCGGTAAAGATGTGAGCCGAACTCACCCATCCTGCCTATGCAGAAGATAAGAAAAACAAACCACATCCCCTAAAACAACTCAGAATTCCCGTCTCTGACTCAATCTAAACTCCTTCCAAAACCCCCACAGTAAAAGACGCGGCACCACGTGTCTCCAAGCGCTGCCTTTGTCCCTCCACCAGGTTCTTCCGCGAGCTGACGGAGCTCAAGACCTTCGCCAACTACTCCACCTGCGACCGCAGCAACCTGGCCGACTGGCTGGGGGGCATCGACCCCAAATTCCGGCAGTACACCTACAACCTGCTCACCTGCGGCATCGACCGCAACCTCCTGCACCGCGTGACGGAGCAGCAGCTGCAGGAGGACTGCCACATCCGCACCGGCTTCCACCGCGTCCGCATCCTCACCGCGGCCCGGGGTGCGCCTGCCCCGGCAGGGAAGGGGGTGGAGGGGTGTCATGGATTGACACTGGCACAGTGCCAGTGCCCCCATGAGAGGTGTATTCCCCAAAATGGTTACTGTGAGATGTGACCCGGGAACAGAACAAAGCAGGCTCTAACTTGGGAATGGAGGGAAAAAAAACAACACTTTATTAATCTACATAGACACAAAAGGAAGGGGAAAACTACACACACACAACAATCCACAATAGAACACTTTCGAAACACTTCTCCTCCTCCCCCCAGTCCTCTAATATTCAAATCCCCTCCCATATTCACTCCCCTGGGGTGTCTGGGGTGAGCTGCCGGGCGGTTTGTAACTGCTGGTGTTTGTTTTGTGCTGTCTAGAGACGCTGCACTCCCCCATCACGCTGCAAACCACGTCCGACGGCACCGACGTGTTCATCAGCTACCGCAGGAGCACCGGCTCGCAGCTGGCCAGGTGAGCCCTGCAGGGAAGGGAGAAGCCCGGGGGAAGGTGGGTGGTCAGCTGTGGGAAAAGTGTGGCATGGGGAGGAGGGAGAGGCTGCCAAAACTGCAGGGCAAACAGGGACACAGCACACGTGGACAGGCCAATTCCCAGTCCTGTCACCACCACTTTGTGGCCACAGCTCTCTCCTCGGAGAGCAGCAGGCACAACCTTCCCAGGATTTCTCCTGGGGAAAGCCTGTGAGGAAGCTCAGACAAAGAAGAAAACAATTCTTATCTCTACTTGCTGCTCCTGTTGTTTAGCACATGTGGAATGTGTTGTGGAGATTGTTTACCAAAAGGGATTTTTTAATTAGACTCTGGTGATGGTTGTTTTGATTGATTGACCAATTAGGTCAAAGCTGTGTCGTGACTGTCTGTAAGGGGTCACGGGTTTCTCTCTAATATACAGTACAGTATTATTGTAGTATGTAGTATAATATAGTATAACTTATTAAAGCAATTGTTCAGCCTTCTGAAATCACTGGAGTCAATGCACATTATTCCCTGGCTGGGGGTCACCTTGCTACAATACCACTTTGGCACTGAGTGACCCTTTCCTCATCTGTATTCTTTAGTATAGTTTAGTGTAGTTTTAGTTTAGCATTCTTTAATATAATATAGTATCATAAAATAATAAATTAGCCTTCTAAGAACATGGAGGCAGATTTATCATTCCTTCCTTCATCTGGGAACCCCACAAATACAACAGGGAAGAGGATGAGGGGAAGCAAAGTGACATCTCCTCCCTCCTGTGGCTGTAGGGGATCACAGCAGGGTGTCAATGGGAGCTCCTGGTGTTCTCTGCACGTGCCCCGACAGCTGGGCTGGAGCTGGCATCTCATTCCCTGCTCCTCTGTCTCACCGTGTCTCAGCCAATGTGGTGAGGCAGCAAATGAAACGTCCCCTCATGGTGCTGTCCCCTCTTGCCACCAGCCTGCTGAAGGTCCACCTGCAGCTCCACGGCTTCAGCGTGTTCATCGACGTGGAGAAGCTGGAGGCAGGGAAGTTTGAGGATAAGCTGATCCAGAGCGTCCTGAGTGCCCGGAATTTTGTGCTGGTCCTCTCAGCAAACGCACTGGATAAATGCATGGAGGACCCCGAGTGCAAGGACTGGGTGCACAAGGTAAGAGCTGCCACCAGGTGGGAGCTGTGTGGACATTGTTGGGAGGGAGTTGGTGAGGGCCTGAGCACCTGCATGTTCTGTTCCTGCAGGAGATTGTGACAGCCCTGAACTCCGGCAAGAACATTGTACCTGTTACAGACCATTTTGAGTGGCCAGACCCAGAAACGCTTCCCAAGGACATGAGGGCTGTCCTGAAATTTAATGGTATCATGTAAGTAAAGGCCACCTGTGCCATGGGGTTCCTTGACACCTGGGGAGAACAGCTTGCATAAGGAGTAGCAAAGAGCCCGAGGACATTGGGACAAACAGATGAGGGTGGCAGAACAGGTCAAAGGGACACTGAGTCACTCCAGGTGCTCCAGAGCTCGCAGGGAGCAAAGGTTCCCACCACATCCCTGCTGCTGGTGTTGTGCTGGGACTCCTCTGGGTGACAGAGGGGTCACTGCTGGGAGGACACACATCCTCAGGCAGCAGTGATGCTGGCAGGTTTTACAGCTCACCTGGGTTTCTTCCCCCCCTGCTTTCCCTTTGTACATCCCAGCCTGGCAGGGCATTCCGCAGCACCCCTGGGGAAAAGGGAGCTCCTAGAGAGCTGGGGAGGAGGAAAGGGGTCTCTGGCTCCTGGCCCAAATGAACTGAGCTATCTTGTGGCACCCCACACACGGCAGGAAAAGTAAACATCCCATTTTTCCCCTCGATACAGGTGGTCCCACGAGTACCAGGAGGCCACGATTGACAAAATCATCCGCTTTCTGCAGGGCCGCTCCTCCCGGGACTCCTCGGCTGGCTCGGACAACGGGCTGGACTGCCTGCCCTCCCTGGGGCAGAGCTAGAGCCAGCACAGCAGCCTCACAGACTCCCAGGCGACCCCTTTTTGTGTGTGTGTGGGTCCAAATTTATCCCTCCTGACTTTTTCCCACCTTTGAGAGAAAACCTGTGGCTCTTGCTCCCTCTTCTCCCTCCAAACACAAGCCCCAGGCCCCAGCACTCACTCCCCCAGTGCCTGGGGAGCCAAGGCAGGCTGGACTCTGGGGTGGATTATGTGTCTTCCACGTCCTCCTGTGGGGTGGCAGGACATGCATGGGGTGTGAGGGAGACTGGCACCATCCAGACCCCCACAAGCAGCTGCAGCTTCCCCCAGAAACACGTCCAAAGAGGGAGAATCTTTGGAGGACTGAAACTCGGAGAAGTGTTGAGAATCTATCGTAAGAGGACACAAAGGAGAGAAGAGCAATTGAGAGGAAGGTGAGGCTCTGCTGTGTGCCCCAGGAATATTCCTGTGGACAGAAACTGAGAGCAGGAAAGAGCAAATAAAAACTAAGCCCTAACAAAATCTTTGTGTTTGGGAAAGATAACCCACAGGGGCTTTCTGAAGTGCTTTATCTTTCCCAGCAATGTCCCTTTATCACAAGAGCTCCTTCCCTCCTCAAAAGACTTCCACCTCCCAGTGCTGCAAAACCACTTTGTGCTCTTACCTCTGGCAGTGGAAATTTGGGGTTAGACCACGTGAAGCTTCTGCAGGATCCCTGCAAAAAGTGCTTTTAAAATACCCTCCTTCCCTCCATCTGAAGTCTCAGCTTCATCACTTTATCAGGTCTGTATTTTCAGGGCACTGGGGGCTGGACTGTGACCCTGGAAAACTTGAAACCCATGCAGGGAAGATGCTAATTGCTGTGCTTGTGGAGTTATTCTACACTGTGGCTGTATTTTATCCTGCTCCACAGCTGTATTTTATCCTGCTCCTGTGCTCTGTGCCTTCAGCAGGAGCTGGTGAATCTCTCTGCTGACCACCACACCCCCACAGCCCTGGCTGAGCTCCCTGGGGTTGTTCTGCTCACTGCTGGATGCAATTCCAAGTAGCACTTGTTTCTTCCTATCAACCTCTTCTCAACACCCATAAGGGCTTTTTGCAGTTCCTCACATTAAAACATCAAGAAAAAGTGGAGTTTTTGCAAAGGGCTGGCAAAGGATGCTCCGGGACCATCAGTGCCTGCTGCCAACACTGCAGGTGAGGAACCATGGGCATCCTGGCACAAATCCCTGCATTCCACACTCCAGGCTGATGAATCACCTTGCAGAAGCAACAGTCTCCTCTTCCCATCCTTGCTCAAGAAGAACTCAAACTTTTCAGGAGGTAACAAAGAGTCTCAGCCACCTTGTCCTCCTCCTGGCTCTCCCTGGAGCCCTGCTTTAACTGTCAGGAACACAAACACGTTCTTCTTTTGGCTTTGATCCACAAACATATCAGGGGAAAAAAAAAATAAAGTTAATTCTGGTGCTTTATGGATAGTTCTTATCAGCTCACAGTTAATGGCATCTTTGCTCTCCAGTGAAAGGTTAATAGCCATATTTGCCCAGCATTCATCAGAATTAGAATCCATCTAATCTCCAGAATAAGTAACAAGAAGGCAGCAGATGAGCCCAAAGGTGAATCTGCCCAAGGATAAAAGCCTCTTGTGAGCTGCTTCAGGGAAAAGCCTTCAGTAACTGAATGTCAAGGCCTCCATGGCCACTGGAGCAGTCCCACACAAACAGTCCTAAGGACTTTTCTCCCTGCAATAATACCTGGTAAGATGACTGTGTCTTGTATCCCAGGAGCTCTGTAGCAATCAGCCTCACTGGAGATTTACTTGCTCTGCACAGCTCAGGTGTCTCACCTGACCTGAGATCCCATCTCCTGCTCCAGCTGCCTGGACTGTGACTCCTCCTGTTTCCCCATCATTATCTTCACCTTAATGAACTTGCCCTGCTTCTGGCAAAGCATCCCATACCCAGCCCTTCCAGCTGGAGCAGACCCAAGGAAATTAATTCCTCTGTCCTTGCCCTCCCTCATTCCTTTGCTCTGCCACGTCAAAAGTGTTTGGAGTTATTCAATCAGGCATTATTAATAAATCTGGTTTTTACTGTAAATCCCCTCCTCTTTGTCTGTATCACATGCTTCTCTCCCTGCAGGCTTTTCACACTTGCTTTTCCTTGCCACCACGAAGCAGAACTGACATTGCCAAGCACCATTCCTGCAGGAACCCCTCACTTCCCACTCACCTTTGCATGGACTGATGCACTGAACCCCCAGGGACACTGCCTGCTATCACCAGCCATGCCTCCACTGTTGCAACTCTTGGAGGACAGCCTAGAAAAACTTTGGTTTAATTTTTTTAATGAGGCATAATAGCTGCCATTGAATCTGTCCCCACGCAGAGCCAGGTTTCAGCTCACTGCACATCACTGAGCAGCTGCTTGAATTGGCACCCACGGTGTGGAGAGGGCTTCACTTCACGATCAGTTCACCCACCAACATCTACTGCAACATTCACAGCATGCCCTGTTCCTCAGGGAGGCCAATTCCAGGCTGAGCCCAGCAATCTGACCTGTAACTCCTACCTTCCCTGGCAAAACTGCTTGGGGCAAGTGGCATAACACCAAGTTCCTAAAGCCTCCTTGCTTCTCTGCTCCCCAGTTCTGCTTTTACCACAAACTCCCAGTGGATAGGGACAAAGCTGGGTTAAAGCATTTCACATTTTCTGCACACTGAAGGACAGGTTTCAGGTGAAGCTCTCCTGCAAGCTTTACTCTGGTGGTCAGGAAAAGCAAGTTTTGGCTGCTTGCAAGTCCCAAACCTGCATTTTCCCTGACTTTTCACTTTCACACACTCATCCTCCACGAGACAGATAAATTCATGCTGCTCCTTCTTTACTGCAGTCTTCAATAAAGGACTGAGAAGTAAAATAATGGAGAGGAACCTCAAATGAGTCAAGGACAAACGATATCAACAGCTGCACAAGATATCCAGAGCTTTATGAACCATAAAAGAGCATGGAGGTTTTATTCATTCAAGTAACAGTAAAGTCATTACTGCATGTACCTGAACAGCATGTGCAATTAAGTGTACACAGAACTGCTGGTTTATGGTACATTGAAGAGAAAAAAAGATTGCAGCAACACAGGTAATGCTTTAGAAAGAACAATTATAAGTACCACGGACATGGGGTTTGCTTGCTGGCATCAACAGATCCCAGGGCAAGCAGAGTCATTAACACAAGATTACACCACATACAACAAAAAAGATTAATCTTAAAGACATTAGTCCTATCCCAGCTTGCTGAGGAAGGCTTCTGGATAAGCACAGCAGGGATTTCCCATGACTGGGGCACACCTGTCAAACTGGGGCTCAGATCTGCAGTGTGAGGGGGGAACAATTCTGACAATTTTCTCCTTAATTTCATAGCTTTTGGCAACTGTCAATTAAGGCACCTAGAGGAGTTGATCCTTGTGGGTCCCTCCCAACCCAGGATTTATTCTACTGGCCCTGCAGTATTCTCAGATGATCTGTATTTTCTCAAAACCACCTCTGAGATCCTGGGCTGAGCTGCAGACAAGGCAGGACGTACCACTGGCACTCCAACCACCACTTCATGAACTAGATCCTCTTCTTAGGACACCTCTGACTTGCAAAACTAAAGCTGGTTCAGTCAGTAAGGACAGCAATAGCACTCCTGTGCTAAACTACCCCTCTCCATAAGGAGTTTTGTGGTCTGGCATGTCACATTTGCTGGGTTTTTACTGCAATGATGATCTGGAGCACAGATCTTCCCCCCCCCCCAGCAGGACACTGTTGGGTGCCTCTGCTTCAGCCTGTGCCTCACCCACACCAACAGCTCATCTGGAATATCCTGAGGGGGAAATGCTCAGCAGTTAAAGCAGAACTCAGTCCTCTCTCCCCACTAAAAGCATGGCAGAGCCTTCTGGCCCCACCAAACCCCAAACCACGAGGCAGCCTTGCAAAAGGCCCACAACAGCTTGGTTGGCTCTTGGGTTTTCTCTGACAGATGAGCCAACACAACACTGAGGAGGCATTCACAGCTCCAAATCAAGTTCCTCCTGTGATTTCCAATTATTTGGCATTTAAAAGTTAGTAAGGACAAGCAGAGTGTCCCTCCTGCACTGATCAGTCCTTTGAGGGAAGAACGAAGTGCAGCCTTCAGGTGGACACTGCCATGCTGGCCAATTCCTTGGTGTTAAATTCAGTCTTTTGGGGGGGACAGGGAAGACTCTTGGAAGTTGTTGTAGTCGTGTTTTGAATCCCAGATTTGTATCCACCTAGAAAAGAATGAACAGTTTCAGCTTCCAAAGGCACATGGAGATGCTGCTGAATTGAGTGAGCCTTAAAAGTTTTCAGAGGAAAAGTTTCCTGACCATGGCAGGAGCTGCTGCACTTCTGCAAATCCAAATACACTTCCTCTCCCAGAACCTACCAGAGGATTTGTTTTCTATCACAACGAAAATTCTGCTTCAATTACTAAAGAAATTACAGGAAGAGAGACTGCTGAGAGAGCTCCATCTCTTCCATGAAGAACTTTCAAATTCAATTCCAGATTTTGGATTCCATTGAGGCTGGAGTGAGGCTTTGAAGCACTTTGAATATTGGGAGCTACATTACTCAGGCTGCAGGTTTATCCCTAGGATTCAGATTCCAAAGGAAATGACCTGCACCTCTTTCTACTGGAGCACCAGACACCCTCTCACAACCAGAACTGAAAAATAGGCCTTAAAGACTGCCAGCTTCTATCCTAAGACTAAACAGTATTTTCCATATTACATTGCATGGCAAATTTTGAACATTTGAAGTAAATTACCCAAGGATAGCTGCTGGAATAAGGAGGATTATAGCCCCAAAGAGAAATGGGAATCCCCTCATGAAGTGCAAGGTGGCAGGGTAGAGAGAGTTGAACACTCCTGTAGCCACAAGTGAACACAGCCCTTCCACGCAGGCAACAGAAGCAAAGAGAGCACCTGGAAAAGAGATAAGAGGTTAATGGTGAGATAGGCAGGTGGTTATTGCCTGTAAACAGCTGTAACACATCACCCTCAGCGCATTCTGCCAATCTTTCCAAGGGTTTGCACTTGCCATCAGAAAGGTGTGTGAATATCAAGTGTGGTAATGTGCAACAGGCCTGGCCCGGCACATCCAGCCTGTGGCCACGACCACCTCACCAACCTGCAGGATTTCTATCAGGAGATGACCAGGATATTATCCATCAGCTGGATTGTAAATGCTCCAGGCCAGAGAACCTCTTATCACTTGTTAAACATTAAGTACAGCACAAGATTTAGCACCATAAATCCGCCGTACGTGCCATCGCCGCTCTAAAATAAGAAACCTGAGTATTGCAAAATCACCTCTGCATCGTTGCCACCTGGATTCCCTCCTCCCTTGTCTGCCCTGGAGACATTCCTGTGCTGTGTTTCACAGCAAGTGCAAACCCTCCAAACACATAACTGGACAAAAGGCAAATATGCCCCTCCTTCGGGTTATCCGTGATCTTTCACCGTGGTCAATGATACAACCCTCCAACAACACCTGGTTCTCCCCACTGTTACTGATCTACAGAGGAAAGTTATGGGCAGGAGAATGACTCTTTTCTCCTTGTTATATAATCCATTTTAACTCTTGCTCCTTGTAAAAGTTTCGGAAATGAATGTATGGATGAATGAACTATTCCTGCTTTTCTTCCCTTGCTCTCATCTCAGAAATGCAGCAAGTCTGAATCAAAGAATGACAATTATTTGGGGAAAAAAAAAATACCTTGGGCCTGAGGGTGAATGCAGACACAGAGGAGTCCAGAGGAGCCAGGGAATTCCTAACCTCCCCAGAGTCTGGTTTCAATATTCCAAGAAAAAAGTGTTTCAGGATCTGGCTTAAGCACAGTGGTCAATTCCTTACCTTGTTCTGTCTCACTGACCAGCTTGGAGAGCTTGGATCTGATGACTGGAGTGGCTGCCATGGAAAGGAACAGAATTCCGTAACCTGTGAGCAAGACACAGCACATTAGGGAAAGCTCACCTGAAAAATAAAGCCTCCCAAGTCAGTCCCAGAAATCTGCAGCTGCTGGCAGTGTCTCCCTGCTATATTTAGACACAATTCACCCTCCTGGATCTCATAAAGCACTTCAGTCTGTGTCTGCAGTTCTGGGAAACCTAATGTTCTAGGAACTACGTGGATGCACTTCCAGCTTCAGTGTTTGGCCAACACTGTGCTTAGCAAGCCACAGTTTTGCTGGTGCACAAGGCAGAACTTCCCCACGTACCCGAACTCCCCGTGAAGCACACTACCAGCGCCAATTCACCAAAAGCCTGAGAAACGGGGATTTAAGCCTTCAGCATCACCTGTAAACATCAGTGGCGTTGTGGTAGCAAGGGAAATCACCACCAGCCCAGCAATGTTGGAGATCAATCCTATCTCTGCCACCCAGGTGTCCTCAAGGCAGAGCTGCAGCAGCCTCAGCCCCGCCAGGCTGCTCAGGTAAGTCAGGTAGTTGGCGGCCGAGCCGTACCCTATGAGATCAGAAGCCCAGCACAGAGGGAAGCCGATCTCGTACAAAACATAGATGTCCTTGGCCCCGAAATGCACCGTGACAATCAGAAAGAAAGCCAGGGAGTACAGAGCCAGCTTCCACCTGGAGCTCAGGTGCTCCGGGGCCGTGTACAGCCTGTACACAGCCTTGTAGTGGCTCAGCGTCAACAGCTTGGCCGCCTTCTTCTGCTTCACCGACTCCCGGAGGAAGAAGGCGGCGTAGAGAGTGGCAGCAAGGCTGGCAGCAAAGGCCAGCCAGAAGGGGTTGATGTAGCCCTGGGCCTTGCGCCACTGGCCCCCGCCGATGCTGGCCACCATGCCTGCGGTGCCCAGGCACGCCTCGAGGATGGCCACCCGGAACGTCCGCGCGCCACGCTCGCTGGTGTCGGCCACGTAGGAGAAGCAGCTGGCCAGGATCAGGTTGTAGTCGCCCGTGAGGCCGCTCAGGATGCGTCCCAGGAGGAAGAAGGCGACGTGCAGCTCCAGGTACATAACCAGCAGGTAGATGGCTGTCTGCAGGGCCATGCCCGCAGCCGGCAGGATGAGCGCGGGGCGCCGGCCCACGCTGTCGCTCCATGCGCCGAAGAGAGTCACGGAGAACAGGCTGACAAAGAAACCTCCCAGGTTGATGTAGAGGTTCCAGTGGGACACCAGAGCTTCCACCTCCTGCAGGAGAAACAGGCAGCTGAGGAGCTCCAACAGCACCCACTGGGCTCCCCGCTCCTCCTGGGGCTCCTTGCTTCCACCAGGCTCCCTTTCCCCTCCAGGCTCCCCGCTCCCTTTGGGGGCTCACATTCCCTCCTGACTCTGCTTCCAGGGACTCCCAGCCCCTCTCAAGCTCCCTGTTCCCCCTGGGGCTCCCTGTTCGCCCGGGCACCTCTTCCCCGCTGCTCCCCCAGAGCTTCCCTCTCCCCTGGGATCTCCCGTTCACCGTGAGCCTCCCACTCCCTCCGGGGCTCCCCAGTTCCACGGACCCGCCTTTCCCCCCGGGTCCCCATCCATCCCGTGCCTCCGCTCCCCCCGGACGCCCCGTTTCCCCGGTGTCCCCACCTGCCGCAGGGGGTCGGCGGTGGCGTTGCCGTCCCCGCAGCCGGAGGACTCGGTGCTGTTGCGGTCGCTGTAGCCGTGCTCGGCTCCCAGCCGGTCCCACAGGTACTGGGTGGCCAGCGGGCCCTGAAGCCCCAGCGACACGGTGGCCAGGAACAGCAGCGGCTCCACGGCGGGCAGCGACAGGCGGCGCCGGCCGGGGGACACCGGGGGCTCGGCGGGCGGCGGAGCGGCCATGGCGGCCACGAGGGGCGGAGGCTCCGCCGGAACGGGACTGGTTCTGCTCCGCCCGGAACGGGACTGGTGCTCTGCCCCTAACGGGACCGGTTCTGCTCCGCCCGGAACGGGTCTGACACGGCTCCGCCCGGAACGGGACCGGCTCGGCTCCGCCCGGAACGGGACTGACTGGTTCTACTCCGCTCGGGATGGGGCTGACACGGCTCCGCCCGGAACGGGACTGACTGGTTCTACTCCGCTCGGGATGGGGCTGACACGCTTCCGTCCGAGTGGCACTGACACGCCTCCGCCCGGGATGGGGCTGACACGGCTCCGCTCAGCACGGTCCGGGCTCAGCTCTGCCCGGGACCGGCTCCGCTCAGCACGGTCCGGGCTCAGCTCTGCCCGGGACCGGCTCGGCTCCGCTCAGCACGGTCCGGGCTCAGCTCTGCCCGGGACCGGCTCCGCTCCCTCCGCCGGGGACCGCGGCGGTTCCCGAGACCCCTCGGCGCTGGCGCTGCAGCAAGCCCTAAAGTGCTAAAGGTGCAGCTCTGAGGGGATGATGTTCCACAAAACCATGTCATTTCTGAGGCGAGAAAAGCCCTCTGAGAGCCTCGAGTCCAAGGTTAACCCAGCACGGCCAAAGCCACCGCCAAACCTTGTCCCCAAGTGCCACATCTTCACACAGTTAAATCCCGGCAGGGATGGGGCTGCAGCACTTACCTGAGCAGCCTGTGCTAGAGCCCAAACACCCTCTGTGTGAAGAACCTGTTCCTAATATCCAGCCTAACCCCCCTGACATGCTTTCATGCTGTTCCCTCGGGTCCTGTCACTGGTCACCAGAGAGGAGAGAACAGCCCCTGCCCCTCCAACACCCTCGTGAGGAAGCTGCAGGGTGTGATGAAGGCTCCCCTCAGTGTTCTGCAGGCTCAACAAACCAAGCGAAACAAAAGTCAACATTTTAACTGCGCTAGGATCAGCAAAATATTGTATTTAGCAATATGTGATCACTTCTGTTACTTCACAGCACGTTAGAAAATACTGCTTTTCATAAAGGACAAAATAACTTAGAAACTCAGTTAATAAAGAAAGTTTTGGCTGTGCTGATTGGTTTCTTGTAAGGTTTGGCTGCCTCAAAGAGCAGATCAGGACGCAAAGACCAAGTTGTCCTTTGAATTCAAAGCACATGATTCAGAGTATTGTATTAACCTGTTTATTAGTTATTAACCTGTTATTAGTTTGGAGCAGCTCCAAACCAATGTAAATTGGCACCGCTCCTCTGACAGCACCGAGCTGCTCGTGGGCCACAGGAAAAGCTTGGACAAGATATAAACCGCTCATTTTGCAGTAAAGCACTAACAGAAATAATTTTTAGTGTCTTTGAAAGTGTTGTGACTCACATGACAGTGGCAAACATCTCTGTGGAGGTGCTGCTTTTAAAGGACAGGCACAATTCTTCAGCTGAGACCCTTCCCCACTGGTATTTGCACTCCACAAATGAGGCTGCAGCTGGAGGCCAACCTTTGTGTCACAGAGATGCAAAAACGAGGTGTTCTTTTAGATTTCCATCGCAGCCTTAGGGAATAAGAGTAAAAAGCAGAAAAAAATGACCTTGCTGTTGGCTGCTGCCACTGCACCTTGTAATTAAACATTCAATGGATGCAAGATGTGGGGGAACAGAATTAATCTGGAAGCTCTCTCTTTCTTTCTGTACCAAGGGTGAGATGCTGAGGCTCAGGGCTGGCACTGAGAAATGTGATGCTGTTGTTTGTGAGCAGTATGCCCAAGTCCAGCTTGCAAATCTGGCAGCTGATTTTCCATCATTAGCACATTCTTGAGAGAAAAGGCAGAAAAGGGAGGAGAGGCAGAAAGAGCAGAAGCTTTTTGTGGAGCTGACAGATGACCTAATGGCTGTGCTTCCCTTTGTCTCTCTCAGTAAGCCATAAACAGTACCAAGATAATTTATAGCAACCAATGGAAATGTTATCATTATTAGCTGAGGGATGTACCTGGATGATCTAATAAAGCCATCAGCGTGGTATTAACAAGAAATTACCCTCTGTTCTTATTTTATTTTATTTATTTAATTATTATTTTATTAATTTATTACCCTCTGGGCTTAACATGTTTAGTACTATTCCTGCTAAGGTATAGAATCTAGTGATTCACAGCTTGTATTTTGGAAGTTGCCTGAAACTGGGACAAGAATCACTGCTAATTTCCCTTCAGCACCTTTTCTTCTTAATTTCTCCCCTGCCCCAATACACCCTGCAAGTTCCCAAAGCTGTGCCTATAAACCTGCAGGATCAAAAATGTGGGAAAAAAAAAAAATAAAAATAGCCCAGTGTCTGCAAAGAGATCTCCTGTAGCCAAGTGTTTCCCAATCCACTAAGACCTAAGGTAAGCACTGTCAGTCCCTTTTTGTTTGGGGACTTGGTGTGGCACCTGGTGACAGCAGTGGGTTTTGCCAGCCAAAGGGAATTTCTCAGGGAACAAACATGAACATCATAAAAAATTATGTTTATATAACATTTTACACCTCTGTATTTGAGCATTACAGATGCCATTTTCAGTGTTCCCCCCATATTTTTTGAAAATTGAAATTATTTTTCAGGCTGTTTTGGAGGGAGCAGTTTCCCTTTTTAAATGGGAGTAATAACAGTACCTATTCAAAGAGGGCATTGTGAGAGACCAAATCATTAATATTATGTTTTTAAAAGTGTAGGTCATGCTTTCAAAAACCCACTTGCTCCACAAGGAATTCATTCTCTGATGGATTTATCAACTTTCTGAAAGATTCTCTGAAGAAAGTTCCTGCTCTGACACTCTTTCACTGTCTCCTCCCTTCTTTGTTCCCTTCCTTCTTTCTCCGATTACAGTTCCAAAAACAACACCCAATCTCCCGAGGTCAATGGTTAATATTCCCTGGTGTTTATATAGCTCCAAGCAGCAGATTCCAGGCCTTTCAGCACTGGGCCAGCTCCAGCACCATGGCTTTCTCCTGGCAGGCAGTGCTGGCCTGCAGGAAATACCTCATCATCGTCCTGGTCCCCCTGGTGTTCCTCCCTCTGCCTCTGGTTCTGCCCACCAAGGTAAGGAATTTTTAAAATTCAGTTTAAAAGCCTCCACTTCTCAGAGCTGCTCTTTTCGAGGGTGAGGAGGTTCTTTCTCAGAGCACCTGCATCTGCTGCTTGGAGATCTCTTTTCTTTATTTTCCTGAGTGTACTGGGGCAATACAACAGCAGTGGGGCATAGATGGATGAGGAGCTACATCTCTGATTGCATCTTCTAGAGGAGCACTCAGTGACTGAGGGAGATTTTGGATCTCTTGCTTTGCATCTGGCTGATTTAGAAAAGGACTTTCTGTGCTGAAGAAAGTGTGGACCTAAAGCTCAATTTTAATCCCCCTCTTCATTTTCTAACAATGTTCAGTCCACATCTTCTTTTATTCTTTTCCTTGTGGTCACTGCTGCTCAGAAGAGGCATTTTAGACAGACAAGGCATTCTGATACATGAGGGAAAACAACATGCATTTCAGTCTTGCTTCAACTTATTTCTGTAAGAATCCTCCCAAACAAAGATTTTAAATTGAAAACACCATATCTGGAAGACAGCTGGCTTAGGGTTCCTTCAGGAAAAGTTGACTAAGGAGCTGCAGTGTCTGGTGTTTCTGGGTATTGATCATTTAAAGAGAGAGCTGTGAGCTGACAGACTCCCAGTCTTCTGCTGCTTCTTCACTGTTTCTTGCACTCCCAACCTCTTCATGCAGAAAGATCTGATCTCTGATCTCTTATTACAACCCCAGCACCATGAAATATCTCATCCCAAACTGCCCCTCCTGTCACTTCTCTTTGGACACCAAATCCTAACTCTTCCCTCTGGTCTCTGCCTCCCAATCCCTGCTGGTTCCCAGTTTAGATTCCTTCTCCAAGTTCCGTTCTCTATGTCCCTAACCCTTCCCTCCCTAACTCAGCTCTGAGTGTGGCAGCTGGTCAGCTCTCATTCCCTCACTAGGCAAATAAAATAGTTTAAATTATTACTTAAAAGCTTGCTAAATGAAAAAAAAAAAAAAAAAAAAAAAAGAAAGAAAGAAAAAGAAAAAGTACCTTTTTTTGCTAGTTAACGTTCAGTGGGCAAAGGAGTCACTGAAGTGAAAACAGATCAGGATCAGGAAAGTTCTAAGGAGACAGAGAGTGATTTCTTCTTTTTTTTTTTCTTTTTTTTTTTTTTTTGTCCTAAGGCCACGAGTTCAAACTCACTTACTGGAGGCATTGTTACATACAGTGAGTCCTTGGAGATACCTGTGGAATGATTTGGCAGTCTTGGTTCAGTTGCTCTTTGAAAATGACTCTCTCTGGTTTCTAGGCAGTCAGCAACAAGACAAAAAATTGAAAACGTCCTGGATTTTTCCCTTTGTGACTTAAGGAAACCTTTGAGAAGGGGTTTTTGGGGTTAAATTGTGCCACTGCTGAGCAGGAAAAGCTGGTGCCTCTGCACACAGTGGTGTGAGCCAGCAGCTACAGGGTGGAATTTCACATTTTTTCTATTCTGTTCATCTATTAACCTGCCCTAAAATGACATAGCACTAGACACTGAGGTATTATAGCTGAGGGCAAACAATGCTAAAAATCTTGTTTAAAGGCAGACAAGTGTCCTTACAGGATGGCTGACTTTGGGAAAACCCTTTTTCCAGCTTTGACTGTTCACAGCAGCAAGGAAGACAATGGCACTGTGCCTATGAGATACATCCCAAAGCTCTGCTAGGGTCTCTCAAAAGGCACCCATCTGTGTCTTTTAATAACACAAATGGAGAAAAGGGATTGTCAAAAGGGAAAATTGCTCTCAGTGATCAGTGGGATGAATAATTAAGGTTCTCAATCCTCCAAAATAAGGCTCAAAAAGAAATATTTTCATATCTTTGGCAATATCTCAGACTTATTTCCTCAGCCTGGTTGCTTTGATAATTCACACCTAGATTGCTGTCTTATTCTTTCTGTGGACTGCTCAGCTCCCTGCTCATCCTTTCCCTTCAGCAGCTCTGCAACCTCCCCACCACATTCAGAATTCCTGAGCGTGTTCCCAAGCATCTCAAATTCAATCCTGCCACCCATTATTCCAGCTCCTTGCTTTAATCCTCTGTAATCCAGCCTCCAAAAGCACCACTACAGTTTCATTCATACTGAGCAGTATGTTTTAGTGGACATCCTTTATCCAAGACCACACATCCATGGTTTTCTTCCTTTGGCTTTGGTGTCTCCCATAATTGTGCAAGCTCCAAAATGCAGAAGACACCAAAACCTCCTCTTACATTCTTTCTCAGCCCAACCAAATGCCACTGTTGTGGCAAGTAATTTTGAATATTTTCAGTGTACAGGGACTGGCTGAATCATTTTTACATGAAATTTGGAGTGGCTGTCCAAAGCAGAACTAAATCAAGGTTTTCTCAGAAAAAGTGACATGAAATAGGGCATCTCACTTTCCTCAAACAAACAACACAAAGTCAGTGGAAGCTGAAATGATCTGTGACCCGTCTGCCAGTAAGCCTCTCAAAGTCTCTACTAAGCTAAAAATCCAGTGAAAAGTTATAAAAGTATTTACAGTACAAGGAGCCCAGGCTGTTGAATTAGCTGTGGCTCACCTGGGCCATGACCTGAAAGCTGTGCAAAAACAGGTGGAGAAGCCTTGGCTGGATCAGCAACTGATTCTACAACTCAAGGACATAAATACAGAATATAACATCATCAGCACAATCAGGATATCAGAATATAACACCATCAGCACAATCAAGAAGCCGTTTCAGTGATTGCCAATCCCTTATCATGAAGGTCCAAAGTCATCCGTGCTCTTTTCCTCCGGCGCTATTGTTGCCCCTCTGAAGGTCTCATCTGCTCCTCAGAGTTCTGATTGCTGCACAGTTTGACATCTGATTAGGATCTGCATAGGTCAGAGGCTAGATGGGAGAGAAGCACAGGAAATAACCTCCTCTGATCCCTTTATCAGGCAGTGGATGCAATTGAGAGGCCTTGGCTTTGGGAGAAGCCGCGGGTTCGATGTTCAGCGTGTTCTGACTGCCTGTCCCCTTCCCTGGCAGGAGGCAATGTGTGGCTATGTGATCATAGTGATGGCACTTTTCTGGTGCACAGAAGCCCTGCCTTTGGCTGTCACAGCTCTCCTGCCCGTCCTGCTGTTCCCACTCATGAATATCATGGATTCAACAACAGTAAGAGATTTTGTTCCATGTGTTAATCAGTCAGCTGCTTTTATTCTGGGATTATTCCCCAGGATTATATGATGACCATCATTATATTTATATTATTGATAGTATTATTATTTTATTTTAACTTATTTTTATTATAATTACTCTCTGTCTTCTCCATGGACTAGAACTTGCATGAGCCCAGAGTGAGCTCTGGGTGGAGCTGCTAATCTGAAATCACAACAAATTCCCATTCAGATGCAACCCAGAGCTACTCCCTGCTAATGCCTTTGGAACAAACCCCCTCAGAAAATGTCCCCATCTCTTGTGACTCTTCCCTCTCCCTTCTCCCACCTCACAGGTCTGTCAGGAGTACTTGAAGGACACCAACATGCTCTTTTTGGGGGGCCTGGTGATGGCCATCGCCATCGAGACGTGGAACCTGCACAAGCGAGTGGCTCTGAGGGTCCTGCTGATCACTGGTGTCAGGCCAGCCCTGTGAGTGACAGGGGTGCAAATGCTGTGGGATCCAGGATTTTATGGCATTAGACCCCATCTCTGATGGGAATCTGCAAATCTTTCCCTGCAATTGCTTTCCTGCAGCCCAAGTGAGTTAGTGCCTGAGCAAGCCTTGCAAATGTTGAGGTGTTACACGCCTGGTGTGTCTTTATTTATTTTATTTTATTTTATTAATTCCAAAAGGCTTTTAGGTGGAGAAATAGCAACAAGGGAGTCAATGCTGGAAAGAGAAGGGTGCTGCCAGGCTGGGCCAGGAGCACAGCTTTGGACAGCCAGGAAAAACCACAGCTGGAACACAGAGAACCTGGACTCTCTGCCTGCTGCTGATTGCACAGAGAAGAGAAAATATGAGGATGATTGTTTGGAAAACAACAAATGTTTTCCAAACTAGAACTTTAAGCTATGCACATGCTACACCACCCTGTTTAATCAGTTTCAGCTCATAAGAAGAGGGAATACTGTAGGAAATTACAAAGCAATAGAATAAAAATGCATACAAGATAAACCCCTTTTCATCTGATATGTAATCTACATCTCATCTAAAGAATAATTTTGAGACAAATAACAGAGTAATACTGAAACAAGGATTAGAATTTTAGATGAGTAAGAAGAGAATTTTAAATAATAGAGGTGGGATAAAATAACATGAGAAAAAAAGAAAGAGATCATCTTCCTTATGGCTTAAACTGATTGCCATTTGGGATCAAATTCAGCTTGCAATCCCTCTGCAAAATCTATTATAATGCATTGACATGTGCTGTTGAGAAATGTCTTCCTCTGAAGGATGGGGGATAAGCAGGGTCTGACTGGATAAACTGCTTGCTCCAAGCTACCTGCTCCCACTTTCTCAGCCATAGGAATGTCAAAAAATTGGTTGAAAAAGAGAAATTGATGTTAAACCTTAACTGGGTCACTCACAAAGCGAACCAGGGCAGGAGGAAATGCTGGGTGGGGATTGCTGAGCATTCTCCAAACCCAGCACTTTGTAACTAAAAAAATGAAGAGCGTTGCAGGGCTGAGCTCTGACCCGGCTTTTCCAAACCTTCTCCTTTCAGACTCCTGATGGGTTTCATGGTGGTGACAGCTTTCCTGTCCATGTGGATCAGCAACACAGCCACCACTGCCATGATGGTCCCCATCGCACAGGCCGTGATGGAGCAGCTGCACAAGTCAGAGGCAGAGTCTGGCTCCACTGGCCAAGGGTCTGAACACACCAACAAAGCCTTTGAGCTGCAGGAAAAGTCACCTGAGGGCTTCAAGGAGCCAGAGGAAAAAGGTGAATGGGTTGGGGGTGGTTTTTTCTTCAGGGTGATGGAGGATGACCTTTCTTCTGTTGTAGCTTCTGTTCCTAGTAAATCCTAAAAGAAGACTGTCCCCAAAGCATCCTGACTGCACCACACAGCCCTGAGGAGGCTCTTCCATGAACCAGGCAAAACTACAATTTATATTATTGTTATTATTATTCTGATTTGGCTGAAGTTAAATCAAAAATACAAAAAGGTTATAACTACTCAACAAACTGACAAAAAGTACAAATTCTCCACTAGGGGAAGCCTTTATATCAGGCTTGCTATTTCCCTGCATATTTATGTTAGTTCAATTATTATCTACTGTGTAACTTATCATATCATAGGGGATTCCCAAGGCAAAATTTCTGGCCTGTTTCCAGCTGGAAGGTTAGGGATTAAAATGATCTTTCTAATCCAAAGGTACACAATCAAACAACAATATCTCTTTACCAGCTGTCTTGCCCTCTCCCCATTTTTGAGGTGATTCCAGAGTTTCTGAACATAAATCTCAGTGCCAGCAGACAGGTGCTGGTGCAGAAAAAGTTCCTTTTAGCCCAGCTCTGTTACAATTCCCTGAATTCTTGCCTCACTCCCCTCCATGTGCAGTTCAGACATTACCCTCATTCACAAGGAGGTGTCAGCAGTGGGTTCAAACTTTAGCACACATTTTAAATTCCCCTCTGAAAAACTGCTCTGTGTCAAGACAACCAGTGAAAATGGGCAGAAGATCAAAAAATTAACTATTCCAGCCTTATAAGGAGGAACTTTGGTTCCTTCAGCTCTGAATCCATTGTGTCCTAGCCTTGAAATATTAAATTAAAAATTAAAAGGCCTTTTCCTGTCCAATATAGCTCCTGCATCTCTTTTGTTCCTTGGGATCTAGGTAATTCTCATGTCCTGATAGTTGAGGAAGAGAGAAAGAGAAATGAAGAGATTGAGAAGAAACACCTGAAGCTGTCCAAGGGAATGTCCCTCTGCATTTGTTACTCATCCAGCATTGGAGGGATCGCCACTCTGACTGGGACAACCCCAAATCTGGTGCTGCAAGGACAAGTTAATGAGTAAGTCTGGGATTACACACCCTCCAAACTGCAGCATTCTGCTCCAGCTGGCTCCCAGGCAGCACAGAGAAGGAAAATGCCAGTTTGGTCCCTTTCCTGGGAAGTGAGCTTCTCTTCCTTAATGGGCCCCACAGAACCTCCCCTTTCCCGGCTCATTAATGAAGGACAGAAGAGAGTGTGGAATTTGGGATGCTAACAGCCACCTGCATTTTCCAGCATGTATAAAGACAATGGTGGCATCATCAACTTTGCCTCCTGGTTCTCCTTCGCCTTCCCCACCATGGTGGTGCTGCTGGTTTTGGCGTGGATTTGGCTGCAGATCCTGTACTTGGGCTTCAAGTGAGTACCCTGCGCCCCTGCCAGGCACCTGGTGGGCTCTGACCAGGGCTTGTTCCACACCAGAGACCCTTCACTGACGAGAAAAACCACACAGCAGGTGGCAAAGTCCTGACACACAACAGAGACCGGAACAGCACTCGGTGCCTGTTAAAAATTCTGCAATTTTCCTTTGAGGAACCTGATCAAATCCCAGCTAAATGCACTCTGCAGACGAAAACAGGGAGCTCTGAGTGCACACAACCTGTTCTGCAGCATTGCTGTCGTGTCCTGGGAGATTGCTGTGCTCCAAAGCAGGAAATTGATTTCTACAGAGAGCTGTAAATGCCTTTGTGACCAGGGTTGCTCAGACCTAGAGGATTAGTTCTGGGCTGGTTCTGGAGCAGATCACACAACCAGCCTGCATTGCCTGCCTGCTTAACACTCAGCTTTTCACGTTTGTGTCATCCCAACGTCACTCATTTTACATGGAAAGAGTGCTGTCACACCTGAAATGGTATTTTCACCTTCAAATTCCTCCTTTAACATTTTCTGTCCTTTTAAAAAGCTTGGCAACTCTTTACTTCCTAGCGAAGTGATCAAACAGCCTTGTCAATCACATTAACATTGTCCTGGTCTAGTGGAAGGTGTCCCTGCCCATTCATTGGGGTGAAATAGAATTTAGAGTCTCTTCCAACACAAACCATTCTGTGATTTCTATAAATTTTTTTCCCTCATATGCCCAGATATTTATTTACATTTAAGTAATGAGCTTTTAGGGGCAGGAAGCTTTTTTCTGATCATCTTGTCAAGACCTGCAGCTCCTACTCACCATGGTTGCAAGTTACAATATATTTAATTTCAATATTCATATATAAATACATATACAGACATTATGATTGAGTATAAAATTTGTATTCTTAAGTCTCTGTTTACCTGGCAAATTTCTCTGACACTTCTCATCCATTTTCTTCCAGTTTTAAGAAGAATTTTGGTTGTGGTGTCAGTCCTGCTGCCAAGGCTAAGGAGCAACAGGCCTATGAAATCATCAAGGAAGAGAACAAGAAACTGGGCAAAATGAGCTTTGCAGAAATAGAAGTTTTAATCCTCTTCATTCTCCTGGTGGTGTTGTGGTTTACAAGAGAACCTGGGTTCATCCCAGGCTGGGCAACAGTTCTCTTCAACAAAAACAATACAAGGTAGTGCCCCTTCTCCTCCTCACTTTGAATACAAATGGAGCAGGCTGGATTTTATCCAGCTGAAATCACAGCTGACTAAATGGATTTTATCCAGCTGAAATCACAGCTGACTAAATTCCTGACTGCTCTGCTGCAGCTATGTCACCGATGCCACAGTGGCCCTCTTCATCTCAGTGCTGCTCTTCATCCTCCCTTCTGGCTTTTCCAACCAGGACAGAGACCAAGAGCAAACAGGTGAGTCAATGAGGCACCAAAAATCACCTGTCTGAACATTTCTGTGGGAAATGTTCACATTTTGGGTTTACAAAGGAAATTTCAAATATCAAATAACAATTCAAGCTGCTCTTCCAGCTGTGTGCTTTAGGTTTGGAAAAGCACATATCATATACAATTCTCTGTTTCTCATCATTTTATTAGGAAGCTCATCAACTAATCAGGAACTCGTCAACTAATCAGTTTCTCATCAACTAATTAGGAAACTCTTACCCCAGCAGTGTTCCTGCTCCTGTTCTTCCCATTTGTAAAGGATTCCAAGCTGGAATCTTCAGGAGGGAGCACACAATTTAACAGAAACACACAGAATTGCTGCCACACCTTTAACTCACCCTTCCCTGCCTCCTACTGTGCTTCTTGGAGCAGCTACAGATCATTCATTAGAGCTTTTGCAAGTCAAGTTCTAAAACCCTTGTTGCTGGTGCTCCCAGCTTCAGGAGATAATTCCAGAGTTTGCTGACAGAGGGATTCCTGACATAATCCAGGTGTCCTTTCTTAATTGGAGAGTTTAGTCCTAAAAGACCCTGTAACAAAAGATTGTTGGCCATTTTGTGCCTTCTGATGAAAAGCTGCAGAACTCATGGCTGTGAGGCTGCTTCACTGGTAGGAAATAATAAACACCTGAGTCTGAACATGAAATACCACCTAAAGTGCCTTCAGCCCAGACCCAGAGAAACCAACAGCTGGAAGCCCTGCCCTGACCTTCAGACCAAGCTCACCTCCCACCAAGAAGTTCTCCTTTCTTTGGGGAGTGTAACTTTGTGGCTTCACAAAATCTCTTTTGGGTTCCAGGGGGCAGGGCAAGGTTCCGGGTGCCTCCGCCCCTGCTGGACTGGAAGGTCGTTCAGGAGAAGATGCCGTGGAACATCGTGTTCCTGCTGGGAGGTGGCTTTGCCTTGGCCAAAGGCAGTGAGGTAACCTTCCCTGGAGTGTCTTCCTGGCTGGTTCCTCTTCCACCTTGCTCTCCCAGGACACAAGAGGGCACACCCGGAGCGTCAGATGCTCCTTTCCCCAGCTCCTGGCAGCGGGACCATCCCTGGAGTGCTGGCATCAAACCCTGGTTGTTCCCTGTGCCAATCAGGGCAGCACCATTAAATGTGTTTCTGGAAAATTGGCTGATTAAGAAACTGCCCCAACACATTAAAGGTTGTTTTAAATAAAGTGTAATTGGCGCAGCCAGCATGATGAGATGGTTTACCCAGGAGGGGTCTCCAAAGTATTTCAAACCAAGGATTTATGGAAATAGGATTTAAATTAAACTATTAGAAAAGAAATGTAGAGCTTGCTAGAGAAACTTCAGGAGCAGGTAAAAAACATCTGCAGGAACAAGTCCAGTGCTACACATTATTTTTCAATAATGATTTAAGTGATGGAACAGACAATCCATTTATTAGGCAACAAAGAAATTCTAAAAGGCTTCAAGTGCCTAGAAATATTAGTTTAGAATTCAAAGACCAACATTAAAATGGCAAAGTACATGTTTGGAAAAGGAAATATTTAGGAAATCACTTTAATTTATCCTAGAATAAATAAACAAATACATAAAAACTGCTGCAGAAAGTCCAGAATGACAGGGAGGATGCTGCTACTTCCCAGTGACTGACAAGGATGAAGGGTGTGAAAAGATTCAGACAGTTATCAAGATCTCAGACAATGTGATGAAATGACATTAAATCACTACAGCATCTGATAAGATTTATATTAAAATATTTTAGGAAATTAATTCAAATATCTTCACTTATATATATAAAAAAGCACCTCAAATATTGATCATGTACAAGTAATGATCTGAAGAGAGACATAATTATTAATGCACTATAAATGCAGGATCTCCATGGGAAATGATGTTGATTTTTTTTGTTTGTTTGTTTGTTTAACTTCCTGAACAATCCTGTCTGTGAGCACTGGCTGTGTTTTCCTGCAGCTTGCATGAGAACTGCTCTGAGAAGGGAGGGCTGAATTGGCATGAGAACTTCAACAGAACACTGGTGTGGCTCTTCCCTCTCCAACCTGGCATCTCTCTGTGCTCTCCTGCAGGAATCTGGTCTGTCTGCATGGCTGGGCACCAAACTGACCCCTCTGCAGAGCATCCCTCCCCCAGCCATTGCCTTCCTGCTGTGCCTCCTCATCGCCACCTTCACCGAGTGCACCAGCAACGTGGCCACCACCACCCTCTTCCTCCCCATTCTGGCCTCCATGGTGAGTCCCAGCATGTCAAAATACTCCTGTAAGGACAGTTTTCAGCTCCTCAGCTGGCAAAACTAACTGGCTGGCAAATCCAAGCACTGGTTCCTGTATCCCATCAGGGGTACCAGACCTGAAACAAAAATCTGTGTGTGCACATACGGACACATACCGTGCTTAGCTCAACCTTTCTGAAATCATTGCTGGGGAAAAGCAAAGGGATTAAATTCGTTGGCATATGAAGACTTTCCCTTCTGGCCTGAACATGAGGTCACTGCCAGCTGGACTTGTTTTTTCCAATTTGTTCTGCACGGAGACAGCAGCAGCAGCATTTCCTTGCCTGCAACATTCCATGACTGTATTTCACCCTCACTGAGGCCTTGCAGAAGTCTCTGAAGGTGATAGCATGACCTAATTCAAACTTCTGCATTTCCACAGGAGATTCCTGTTGCTGGGCTAGACAGAGTTCTGCAAACTGAAAAGCTGGTTCCAGACAGAAACTGGAATGAGCTCCTCCAAAATCTTTTTGCATAGGCCACAGACTCCAACCAGCCCTTAAACCAAAGCTCTCACCTCCAGAGCTTCACCTGCCTCCCCTGATAATTTAATTTTGTTCTTAACCAGGGTTTAGAGCTGAATATAAGCATTATTTATCCATTTATACAAAGCCCTGACCACAAAATCAATTCTTGCATTTGCTGCATAAAGAAGTGTCTGAAGCAGCACCAAAAAATGAGTGGCTGCAGTGTTTGGGGAAGAATGAGCCTTCTGACACGGACAAATACAACCAGATTTCTGTGCATTTCTGGGTGTCAAACCCATCATCTCTGCTCTCTTTTTGTGCACAGGCTGAAGCCATTTGCCTCAACCCTCTCTATGTCATGCTGCCCTGCACACTCTCTGCATCGCTGGCCTTCATGCTCCCCGTGGCAACTCCTCCCAATGCCATTGTCTTCTCCTATGGACAGCTCAGGGTTATTGATATGGTGAGGCAAAAAAAAACAAAAAAAACCAACACTTTCTTTCCAGAATTTTCACCCCTAGGTTTGATCTCTCCTTTTCCTAATGCTGGTTCTTCTCGGAGGAGCATTAGAAAGTCAGTGTGCCAGGCTTATGTCAAGTGGAAAGAAGATGTGTGTGCATTAATAAAGGGTCACACTGTCTCTAATACACTCTGAGAATCTTAGAAAGGTGCTAATGAGCCTTTAAAGAACAGCCAGGGCCCCTTGAAGATTTTATAATAAGAGATGTCAATGTCTAACTGCTTGAAAAACCCAAATGTAGAGCATGAGGGTGTCAAAGGGCCCTGTCACCTGGGCAGTCCTTCTGCAGGGACAGGGAACAGCCTGGCACATCTCAGCGGGTGCCCTGATGCCTCAAGAAGTCACTAAAGATGCAAGGACAGCAGTGTCATGTCTCTTGATAACTTCCCTAACTTATAATTGATCCAAGAAGAAACCCAAAGTGACACTAGAGAGAAATACCAGGTCAGAAGAGAAGTGGATTAAAAGGGTTTGGGACTTCAAGTTTTAAGAGTTTTATCCAATGGAAACCTTTCCCTTTATACAAATTATATTTGTGAAGAAATCCAGCTTAAATATAATTTGGTGGAGAGAAAAGAAATTTTCTCTTTTTGGCCAAAGAGAAAATCAAACCCTGCAAACCATCCTAACCATCAAGGAAGGAGAAAAGTGCTCAGGGCTGCTAACAACCCTTCTCTTTTCTAATCCTAGGCCAAAGCTGGGTTTGTACTCAACATCCTGGGAGTCCTGACCATAACTATGGCCATCAACACCTGGGCTTCATCCTTGTTCCAGCTGCAGACATTCCCATCGTGGGCAAACAGGACAGGGACCTGCCTGTGACCTGGGGACAGACAGAGCCAGGACTGCTCCTGCCACAGCTGCAAGGACAGCAGGGCTGTCACCCTCAGAGGTTTAGAGAAAAGCCTGTTCTGGGGAAAAGGACAAGTAAATCCTCCCAATGGGAACAGCAGTAAAATTGCCCGATTGCTGTTGGGTTTTGTCACCCCAGCAGGAGGATGAGGGGATTTTTGGCTTTCCAGCCCTCCCACCTTTAGGTTTTCTGCCTCTTCAGGGGTGTTTGCCCCCAGTGCTTTTCCAGTAAGTCTGAAATCTGCAGCAAGAAAAAAAAGAGAGAGGTGTGACTAGAGAAAAGGAAGGAGAGAGACTCTGGGCTCCTGATTTAGTGCACAGACCTGTGCTCCCACAGCTCTCCTGTGTATGTGTAAATGTTCAAGGTGCACATGATTGTTATACACTCTGTGGGCACTGACAGCAAGCTGGGCTTTGTGTGAAAAATCACTGTCAGCCCCTCCTATTTTGAAATATATTTATTTGCAGTCCCCTTGTTAGGAAGGTAAAAGATGAATTTTCTCCCAGAGCATCCACCCCTGCTGTTATTTATGTCAGATCACAGCCTGCAAGTTCATGGTAAGACCTTTCCTTGAAAAGGAGAAAATCCCTGTGTCCTAAAGTATGTATGATTGAATTAAAGATTTTTTTAATGTACCCCTGTGTTCTAGAGTTTAGGGTTTTTTTAATTATAAATCACTGCTTCTGTCCTCCAGGTATCAACTGCTTGTCCATGTTCTCACTTACAATATCTTTAAATAATCAGAGAAATCAGCATAGTTGATTTTCTCTTATCTTTAAAGTAGCAATTATGTTGCTATTATTACTGAGTCAAATTTTCTTGGACTGTGCAGCCCAAGATCTTCCTTTGCAAAAGCCTGTTATGTAATCCTGTTCCATATCTAATCCCTATTCTGCTGGAGCTGACTTTCAGTAGCAGATAAATTCCTAATGACCAAACTGACAAATAGCCAAAAGCACTTTGCCATAAATGAGGTTGGGTTCAGGCAGAGCAGTTACTCAACGTGTGCCCCTGAAGTTTGCTCTGAAACCTTTGTTCTGTTACCTGCTTCAATTCTGCACAGAGTGCATTTCTGAAATCCACTCTGGTGGGATCTCCACACTGCTTCCATGAGAGTGAAAATGAGGGAGTTTCACTCTAAAACAATATGTTCTCCTCAAAATCTTTCTTTTTAATTTCTCTACCCTAATTATTAAGAGAGGAGGGCAGCGTGCAATATATTTTTGATTAATAAAATGTCCAAATTCATTGACTTGCTGCAGTTTTTTTCCAGTTCCAAAGATCCAGATAATTCTCGTGTCTGCTGGTCATTAATTCCTCAGCACTGATGGTTCCAGTGGCTGTGGAAATCACTGTCTTGGAAAGAACAGCCTGGTGTTAATCCTCCTGTGGCTTTGACAGAGTTTTAATTTGATGTGAGATAGAGATCCAGCAGAATTTCCACAGCTCCAGAAGGAAAGGCATTTATTCTCTGTTGCTAATGAGCTCCTGGGTAACAGATTTCAATCACATAATGACTTGCTCAGGTCAATGCTACACCACTCTCCTTTCCCTTTGGGTTTACCTCTACCAAACAACACCCAAATCTCTCTAAAAGATTTCATTACTCTGCTCACCCTCTGTCTGAGGACTTAAAAATGCCAAACTGGAGCAGATGATTTGCTGAGAGCCTCTCCCTTCTCCCTCCCTTTGTCTCCAGCATCAGGGCAGTGTGCTCTGCTTTTGTTTGCTTTTTGTTTTCTTTGAAATACTCCTGTAGACTTTACATGTCCTCCTAAATTACTGCTTAGCTAAGCAGGAAAGGTGGAATTCTTATAACATTTCCCATCTGCCTCTCCTTCCAGCCCTTTTAAAACTCTGTTATGGCTCTTTGAAGTCTTTTCTATTAGTCTACATTATTCAGAGGCTGTGGTGTGCATAAAGTACCTGCAGGAGCACAGGTGCAATCTTTATGCCAATCTCAAGAAGAAAGGAGGGAGACATCAAGTAGCACAGAGTGTCATGGGGCCAATGCATTAATGCTGGGTGTTCCACCTTCATTAACATGGGTGAGGACAGATTTGCTAGGGAATTTCTGCAGTGGGAGTCACTCAGAGGGTGTAAAAATGCCCAAATTCCAGAAAAAAATATCGGGAAAAACAGGACACAAGGAGAACTGAGAAGAACAAACAGGACACAAGGAGAACTGAGAATTCCATGACCAGTTTCCACCTTGCAGTGGCACTGGGCAGTTCACTGGGTGTGTCTGAGCTCAGGACCAGTCGAGGTACGGCTAAATATAGTGTGCTTGTGCAAAAACCAGTAACACTATTAAAAATTTTCATAATTTTCTAAGCAAAGCAGGTAGAAAGTGTTTCTAAGCCCCATTATTACCCGGATCACCTTTGAAGGGTGGTTCCCCATTATGTTTCCAGATATTGCCCTCAAGGAGTGGCTCCATTTCCCATTGTGAGATCAAATTTCACAATCTGCTGTGAAACTGCCAGCTCAGCACCTGCTGTGCTCAGCTGGGATTCCCACTGCAGCTCCTCATCTCCCAGCTGACACCAAGTTTGCTTTCCACAAGTGATAAATTTGGTAACGAGGAGGGGACCTGTGTCTTTTTTGCCTGCCTTGGCCTAAAAACTACTCTGCAAAACCACAAAATACAGGTTTCCAGCAGTGAGTAAGTGGGTGACTCGGAGTCACCTCCTCGTTCTCCCCGCAGTTATGGAGCTGTCCTGCCTTGCCTTGCACACACACGGAGTTTCTGCAGGCACACACATGCACGCTGAGGGAGCAGGGAGGCCTTGCCCTGGTAAAAAAACACCATTTCTGTGACCACACCATAAAAGCTGATGGTTTCTGGGCAGGAGCCTGAAAAATGGCTTACATTTGGGAAAGGCACCTGGCCATAAACACCTCAGCAGCAATTTGTAAAGTGGCATGGGAGTGATGCAAGGGTCACTGAAATCATAAACAGACTTAACAGGACACATGGCAATTTGAAAGCTGAACCAGGATGAAGCCAGAACATCTTTCTAATCCTCAAATTGCTTTGGAGAAACCAAAAATGTGCTCCCAGTCACTTAAGAGGTATTAAAATGAGCCTTGTTGTATAGCACTGACATCCTGAAATATGCCCAGGACATACAACTCAATTCCTAAACTTTCATTAAAAATAAAAGTAAATAAACAAAAACTACTTGGAAGGACACTTTATCATAAAATGGACATGAAATAATTCTCAAAAAGGTGAAAATTATTTTCAGCAAACAAACAGAAACATGAGGTTCCGTGTTTTATTCAATAATTAGCAGCATGTGGGTAACTGTGGATCTTTCTCCAGGAGCTGTAAAAGCTGTTCCTCTTGTGTCCTTGAGGAAATTCCTCCTGTGGATAACTATGGCATGTTGGCAGTTGTGTGCAGCCCTCTCTCCATTTGGTTTATTTTATTTTAGGAATACAACTCTCTGCTCTCAACTAGCCCACTGGATTTAGTGCTTGCCAAAGCAGAAACAGAGTTTAAACCCTCTGCAATGATGAATAACTAAAGGACAGAAAGCAGAAATACGGGGACTTAAGAAATACCTAACTTGAAATCGTCCAGGAATTTCACAACCCTCAATTTTTTTCTTCTTCTTCTTTTTTTTTTTTTTTTTTTTTTTTTTCCAACATGGGACCTATAAAACTATTTACAACTTGATTCACTGAACTTTATGGCTTGAGTTAGTAATGAGCAAGGTGCCAAAGTCTGGAAATGAAGTGGTTTGGATGTACTAATCACCTGGTGTCCAAACTAACAACTGTTTAATGGAACTTAATCACTACTGTCAATGCTGGGTATTTTCTCCTATTAAGGAGACATTTAGCATTATTTATCCTTTAATCATATTAACACACCGAAACCATGCAGGTGCCATGCAGGAGGTGCAGGTTCCCTCCCCACGTGTCACCTCCTGGCTGCAGACACTGCACCAGGCCATGCCCAGGGTCCCCAAATCCAGGCCAAGCACCTGGGCTGGTGTTGATTTTCCTTGGAAAACTCCCTTAAAAAGGGATGGAACAAGGGAACACTTCTCAAAAGCAATGCAGGGCAGCAGAGTCATTTAATAACATTTATGAAAATTGTCCAAAGGGGAAAAAAAAAATCAAAGAGGCAAAACCAAATGAACTTGAAAATAGAGAAGGACCAGAATGATTAATTCAAGGGTTGAACACATTTATTTTTATGAATCAGACCAGATTCAAGTGCTTCAAGGCTCAGATGTTGGATGCCTGTGTGAGGTATTTGTGATCTAACAATGAATCACAACTACTTTTAGTTGCCACTGCACCTGAAATATGAACTAGAATTAGTTAGACCATCAGAAACTTACTCTGCTTCCAATTTATACCATTCAGAGGGCTTCAGGTCCTGCCCACCTAGCAGCACTCCAGGAATTTCCTCACTTCCCTTGATCCCTGTCCAGTCCATGAGGAGCAGAGCAACTCCAATTTCCCCCCATCGAGGACTTTCCGTTCTTTGGAAGGGAATTTCAGTAATTTCCCAGTTCAGAAACCCAAATTTCATTCATTCTGCTGATTCTTGTTCCTTTCCATCAGGCACAAGGAGAAGCGGTCGGGGTTGCCCGTGAAAACAGAGCACAGGAATAAGGAATTGCACGATGGGAGGGGAGAGCAGTGCAGCAGGCCCGGGGCCTGCAAGGCCTCCCTGGCGGTCAGGAGCCTGAGCCAGGAAATGCCGAGTCACCATCCTGGCCTCGGCAGTGCACCGGGCACGGCGCGGCTGGAACCTGCCGGGATGGAGCAGCAGGGTGTGTGCAGAGTGCTCCAGTTAGAATGCTGCCACCAGCATTCCCAGTGAGGACTTCAGTGAGCACTGCTTAGTCTGGGGCAGTTTGGTGACTGCAGAAGGAAAGCCACATTTCTCTTTTTTCGCTCTAGGACTCTCCTGATGAGACTTGCCAGGAAGCTGAAAAAGGATCCT